TCTCCTCGCCTCTCCTCACCTCGCCTCTCCTCTCCTCGCCTCTCCAGTCCGCTCCGCTCCTGTCCTCTCCCTCCTCCCAACCCGGACTCTGCTCTCCACGCGCGTAATTTTCACACCCCTCACACGTTTCGTGGCCCCCTAGGGGGCTCCAGCGAAGTCTCCGGGAGGGTTTTACATGCGCCCCCCACGCACCGCGGACGGTTTGTGACCCCAGACGAAGCTCCACTGGAGCCGTCAGGAGCTAGTCTTGCATGTGGTTTTCTACTCCCACAGCACGGCCGCACAGGGAGCTCAACCGAAGATTCCAGTGGCGCAGCGCACCCGCGCTCCCAGGCCAATGTCGGCACACCTCTCGCGCGTTCCGTGGTCCCGGAAGGGAGACCCAAGGCCCCAGTCACAAGGCCCGCGTGCGCCCTCAGGCCCAGGTCGGCACCTTTTCACGCGCGTGGTAGTCCCACAAGGAGCCCCTACGAAAGGTGATATGCACGTGTGCGCGGCGCACCACTGCACACGTTGGGGCCTTTTCGCACCGATAGTACCATCTGCTGTTTTCCCAAGGCGGTCTTTGTTGGGGTCTCCAGGCTGCGGCGCCGCTCTCCGCAAGCGCGGCCCCTTGTCGCACCGCAGTTGCGCGCCATCCAGGGCGCACCTGCCCTGGCTGGCGCGAAGGAGAAGTGCCTCCGCGGCCGCCAGTCGCCAGCGGACTGCGCCGTCGAGGCGCACCACTCGGGAAAAATGCGCCGACCTCGTCCTTGCTGGTCCAGGCCAGACGGCCTCTCTCGCTTTTCCTTGTCCCTTTCGCCGCAGGTCTGGTCACGCTTCCGCGCCCCCTTCGGGGCCCGCCCGTTGGCGCGGGGGAAGGGAGCGCGCTCATTAGCACCCTGGCCACTGGGAGGGCAGGGCTGGGGAAGGACAAGAGTGAGGCGTCTGGCCCCAGTGCTCGGCAACGGAGGCACGCCACGAAACCAGCCTTTCCCAGCCAGATACCTCCAGCAGCTGGAAGGGGCGCGCGAGGGACGAGAAAGAGGAGAGGGAGAAAGGAAAAACGAGCAAGAGGAGAAAAACGCGGAATATACGAAATGGTGAAGGGAATCGATTCGAGGTGACGACAACACAACCAATTATCTAGCATCGAACCGTCCGGAGAAAGCGCAACTCGCAAGCCACTGACGGCGTCTAGACCCTGCGGGCGAGGGCCAGCTCCTAGACAGGGCCACGCAGCCACGGGCGGAGCAACGAGAAGCCACGGACCAATGCCACACGAGCCACAAGCAAGGGCGGCAAGGGGGGCGGGAGAACCGCGAAGCAGCGGGAAAACATCGCGCGCACCGCTACGCACCGCTGCAGGGGGACGCGGGATAGGAGCCTACCAAACGTGCAGGAGCGGAAAAACCAGGCACACCACCTGCGGTGCTCCTGCACCGTTGCCACACGCCAGGGCACAAGCCAGGGCACAGCGGGAAGGGATCAGGGCCAAGATGGACCACAAATCATCACAAGTCGACTGGCAACGCCACGAGGAACCACGGGCACAGCGCGTCACTGGTTCCTCTACACATCTCTAGTGGGGGGGAAGGTTTGATATTGCGCTCACCAGCCCTGCGACTTGGCATGACTTGGCGGTGTGTAGGCATGCACGCCGTCGTGTGCCCAGCAATTGCTAGCGGGAGAGAGGGAAGGGCGTGTCTGCTCACCGCAAGGGCTTGCCGCGCGCAGAGCGTCCCTTCAGAGGAACTGGACGGGGAGGGGTCGCGCTGGCTAGAAGGCCAGAGCGCTGTTGCCTGCGGTGGTGCCCGTGCTGGCCCACATGAGTTTGAACTCCCAAGACGCAAGGATCAACCCCGTTGCCCATACAGTAGGAGCGCGACCACAAGAAACCTTCCAGAAGAAACCCAACCCTGCGACTCGAGGACGTCCATTGATTTTTGGTGTGGGAACGTCACGCTGTCCATAGCAAAACCATCGAAACCCAAGAAACCCAGGGCACCCTGCTGGAGGCAAGCAGGGTGTTTTTTGGCATGGTTTTCCACTGTATCGTGATCGCACGAGTGGCTGCGACCTGATGAGGCGCGCTAGAGGCGCGCGTCCTCGCGCGGTGCTCTAGACTCCGCCGGTGGTCGCAGCAGCGACGCAGGCACGCTTCGCTCGAAACAAAAAATCGAAACAACCACGCCAGGGAAGCAGTGAAAGCAGCATCACTGCGAGGCTGGTCGCGGCACGCACGTGCGACGTTCAGACTGACTGCCACGACCCAAAGTTGAGAACGCTGGACTCGACACTGTGATTATGTTGCTCATTGTAGTTAGGGACCACACCACAGAAATAATTTCGAGCGCCCAGAAAAGTGTCGAAACAGTGTCGAAAGAGTATCGCCTCCCAGGACCTGGCACGTGAAAACCCTTCGATTTCGGTACCTTCCTGGTGCTCGAAATTCTTTCTGGTGAGCATGGCCAAAGTAGGTTGGTACATCACAGGGCAAACAAAGAAAAACATGTTTAGAATTTCCTAGGACCTCTGTGCGTCAGTCTGATACACAAATGCCCGTGGCCACTGCGCGACAACTGGCGGTCCCTTGGGGTGGCCAACTGCATTGCCTGCGACATCGGCGTGAGATAGGGACCCTGCCGGTTTTTTGTATTTTTCTTGCGGTCTGACAAGCCTGGCTTTGTTCCGAACATGGTGTTGACCTTTTGCGCGCCTTGTGTCTTCCCGCGGTCTCTATCTCTGCCCCTCTCTCTATCCCCACCCCCTGTCCTGCATTTGCTTGCCGCGGGGCTCTCGCTGCTGCGTGATTTGCTGAGGTCTCGGCTGGTGCGCTGGGCGAGTCTACCAAGGTCCGCGCGGTGCCCCACAAATGGTCCGTCCTTGACGAGTGGGGAGCGCTCGAAGAGTCCCTGTTAGTCGGTCCGAATGTTGCAGGATTCTGTTGTGTCCAAGCGAAGTGACCCAGTGCGAGACGACGTGCCATCAACCGAGCTGGTTCGGAAAATCTGGTGTATCGAACAAGTGTCACATTCAAGAAAAGACACCCCCATGTGCGTCCCCAGCTTGCAGAGCAGAAAGGGACTGGTCACATCTGGGCACGCGGAGAGCACGGACCCAAACACGCCGGCCAGGGCTGGAACGGGCGGGGAGTGCGGGCCAAACAGACCCTGACCCGCGCATCTGGCAGTCCAAGGAGCCAGGCACGCGTAAAGTGCGGGCCAAGATTTGGGCCAGGGAAAGAACATGCGGGCCAACAAAAAGTTGCCCACACATCTGCTCATTCCAAAGCCAACGCGCAAAGAGACTGGGCACACAATGAGCGCGTGCCAAAAAAAACTGGCCAGGACAGGGATTGGGATCGCGGAAAGTGCGGGCAAAAAAACTGGGGGCACGAAGAAATTGCGGGCGAAAACAAGGCGGCCCGCACATGTGCCCAGCCTGGGCAAGACAAAGACAGGGACTGGGCCGCCCGCGGAAAGGGCCGAACACCAACTTGGCCCGCACATTTGCCCACCCCAAGCAGACAGACAAAAAACGGAGCTGGCACGAGGGGGGTGCGGGCCAAATCTTGATCCGTGAAAAGTGCGGGCCAACAAATTTTGGCCCGCACACCTGCCCTCGCCGAGCGCACAGGGCAAGGTCATGGGCACGCTGGGGGCGCGGGCCAAAGGAAAACAACCAGGGCAAAGATTGGGCCCACGCCCTTTCTGGGGAAAACCATGCATCTCATGGGAACCAAATTTTTGCCTCCGCCGACTTCCGCCGCCTTTCGCCAGCGGTGCCGGCCTCGTTTTACTTCCGCCGCCTTCCGCCGGCCTTCCTCCGAGGAAGAGATGCATCAACCCCTTCGATCCTCGAAGGCAACGCCCTTTCTTGAATACCTCATGTCTCCTCGGGCCAACTTGCCCTGTCCAGCCCATGAAAGGCGGAATGGCTGGGGGTGCTTTGATGGTGCTTCATGGTGCACAAAGGAAAACTGATGGCTGCTGGTTGCCGCTTCACCTGCACGCGCCACTCGGGACGCCGAGGTCTGCGGTGGCGGCGCCGCACCCTTCCGTGGAGCTTGGGGTTGTTCTCGGCTTCTCTCCCCGCAGCTGCAAGCTGATTCTTCTCGCTCCTCCTTAGGCGGCCACATGCGAACCCTACCCCCCCCTTTCCCGAATGAAGTGAACCCCCACCCTCCTTAGAAATCGTGGGGGGTGGGGGTAGGGTTCGCATGTGGCCACCGACTCCTTCTCCTCCTCCTTTTCCTGCTCCTCTCCGGATCACGATGTGAGCGAGTCCTTGGGGCTTGGGTGTTGCGAAGCCCCCTCCACTCGTGCTCCGCGCTTGTCCGTGACGCTCTACGGTCCCACGGCACACACGCCGTCGCGAAGACGGTCCCGGGAAACACCGAAGAGGGCCTCAAGAGCCCAAGATGGCTCCTCCTCAGCCTTCTCCTCCTCCTCTTCCTCCTCCTCCTCCTCTTCCTTTCCCCTCCTCCCAATTCCTAGTCTGGACGCTCCATGGGACTGCCCACGAAGAGGGCCTCAAGAGCCCACGATGGCTCCAAGATGCCTCGAAGACGGTCCACAAGGGCCTCTCGATGCTCCAGAGAGGGCAAACGACATTGAGAAGCCATGCGTAGTGCGGTCAATGGTTTGGCTTGTCCCATTTCTGCCCCCAATCTATCGCAAGGTCGCTTAAAGACGGCCCCCAAAGCCCCCCCGAGATTGCCCAAGACGGCCTCAAGGTGGCCAGAAAAGCTCCGAGATGCTGCCCAAATCGCGAAGAATGCCCAAACACGGCCCCGAGACGGCACCAAGACGCCCTCAAGATGGGCCACATAGGCCTCCAGATAACCCCGAGGCTCAACCTGGGGGGGCTGGCGGCAGAGTGCGCAGCCCCTCAGGTATTGATTTCGCGGCCCCCTACGGAACCCACTATTATGCAAGCCACAACACTCGTGCAGCTTAGCAGCCGCTTACGCTGGATATTTGGGTCCCGTTCGTCGGCGATGGCAACGTGTCGGAAGC